ATGACACTGATTTACTGGTAGCCTCGAAACCCTACTCTCACACGAATACTATTCTTACGACCATATTCAAGCTGAAGAGTTAAGAATACCCTCTAGCTAATTCCGGAATTCTGTATTTATATCTATATCTATATATATAAATACAGAATTCCGGAATTAGCTAGAAGATATTCTTAACTCTCCAGTTTGAATATGGTCGTAAGAATAGTATTCGTGTGAGAGTAGGGTTTCGAGGCTACCAGTAAATCAGTGTCATGATATATATATATATAGATATCCTAAAACTAAGCATCTTCATTCAACTCGAAAGAGAATTTAGTCTAAAAATTCTAAACTGAGAATTAGATTTCTAGAAACCCAAAATTTTTCGAATATTATTAGTTGTTTCGACTCAATAACCTTAAACCGTATAACTGTCGATCCTATAAGTTTAGCGATCTCTTTAAATTGACTTTTCATCCCATACACGGGTGTGAAAACTTACTATGCGAAAAGGGCAACCTCGTCATGGTGTCTGTCTCAAAGTAAAACCGTTTGGGTTAATTTAGAAACGGGTTATATCACCTTCCTAGATTGATCTCAAGTTGATTAGCTCACTTCCATTTCAAGCAAAATTGTGTGATAAAGAGATTAGAAGGTAGATCCCACGGCGAATTTCTATAGCCTCTACTAGATCACATGAGATGTATTCAACCTATTTCGTTTAAGGTGATAAGGAACGTCTAAGAGACTAGATCATTCTTGTCGTCAACAAGAACAACAAGACTTCCACCAAGAAAGCCTTAGTCTTCAAATGGGATCGACAATCGAATCTCTTTACCACACCCTTTTACTCGAAGTGTGAAATGGGGCTGAGCTTTTCTTTGCTATATACGGCTGCGGTAGAAAAGAGAAGATGACCGAGCAATTAGCTATCTTCGCTGAGGCTACTGAGGCAGACCTTGCCCTGACGATACTTAGGACTCGGGATACTAGGCCTAGTGCTGAGTGCCGAGGACAAAGAATGAAATTGAATGCCACTTCCATTATCATGTTAACGGCTATTCCACATGTCGGCGGCTGGAGATAGAGAAAGAGAGCAAAAGTGAGATGTACAGAAGAATGGGCTCAAATGTAAGCAAGTGAGCAATAGCAAAAATGTTCAGTTCATTTTGTACGTCTACAAAAAGTCGTATCCATGTGAAGGCATATTTACGAGAGACTTTAAAAACTGCTCAAGAGCTGCCGAAAGAGGAGTGGTATGGTGTGAGTAAAGACAGGGAAAAGGATGTTGTATCCAATATCCTCCAATGCGGAAATCTAGAGCAGAGTTATGGAGGCAGCAAGCATTATACTCAATCTAGGTAAAAATGTGTATATTCTGGTATAAACAGAGAAGTATTCACATGTACATGTTCGCATTTAGAATGTTGCTTTCTTCCGTCCTTCTCCGGTGCTAGAGGCAATAGCAGTACTTCTTACGCAAAACGTAATGGCTCTACAGCCTCGTGACCATGCACACACGAAAATAGGCTTGTCTGGAATTTTTTCCGGGATGTA